ACATTTGGGGATTGACCTCCAGGGTGCAATGGGGGATGCAGCAGACCCAGGGTCTAGCCTCAGCTATGCCACTCACTTGCTGTTTAATTTGGAGGAAGTCATTTGAGCTTTCTGTGCCTCAGTTTCCCCATCTGTACAAGAGCAACAGATGCATTCATTCCCCTTTGCCCTCAAATAATGCTAAGAGTTTGCACTTTAAGGACATGACTCCTCACTGCATTTTTCAAAATGGAGCTAGGCTGGGGTGGAGTGGAAAATCATTGGATGCCATAAACCCTTCACAGACGCTTCCTCTATAGAGTATTATTATTTAGGATCAGGGTGGGGCAAAAACTCTGTTTCCAATGTAATAAGTCACTCTTGATTGCCTGGGCTGTATGAGGATGTGGAGGCACAGACAAACAAACCAAAAGCCAAACCAACCTTAATTCTGTTCATGATCTAGGGCAAAACGGCAGGACCAGCTTCAGAAAAAAAAGGGCAAAAAAAATTGACACGCGATAAAAGGGATTTCCAGGCTTCAAAGAGGGAGAAACGAACGGCTGAAAGGAAAATAACAAACCAGAGGAAGTACTTCAGGATCCCTAGCTGGCTTCTCCCCATGGCCCACACCATGCAGGAGGGTTTTAATCAACCCTAAACCAGTGCCTGATATTTTGTCTAGCCTTGAATATCTCTGCTCTTGCCAGCCCCAGACCCTCCCTTGGTAGCTTGCTCCAAACTATTCTTAACTCTTTTTCTTAATTACCTGGTTCACTGGGGAAACTGGCCTAACTGATGCTGTCCCTGGGGCTGGACCCTCTGGGGTTGCTCCTCCACCCCGAAGTGTATAGTGGACCTGACCCACTAGGTTTTGCTAACCTGTAAGTTGCTGATCACGTTGCACAGGGACATCGTGCCCCAGTGACATCTTCCCCCATAGCCACAGTATCTTCTTTGTGTCAGGATATCAGGACACAAACAAGCTCATCTTGTGGGACATCCTGCTGGAGTCCCCACCCACCCAGACAGTCCCAGTTGGGATGGGATGGAAAGGATCCCAAAAATATCGAGTGGCCAAAGCGATGCCTGTGTGTTGTGACAGAACAGCTGTGCCCGAGAAGCCCATTTAAAACCAGCATACCCAACTGGACTGGCAAAATGGCTCCAGGAGACAGTGCTTTCCTACATTTCTGAAAAACAACCTCCTGTTATTGCACAGGCAGGACAAACTGCTCCTAATGGTTTGGAGTTAAAGCTGCTTTTCTTCTTTCCAGGCCGATGCGTGCTCTCGAGGCTCCTAAGTGTTTCCCCAGCCCCGCGAGCATTGCTGTAACGCTGCTCAGTGGTGACCAACGAGGCGTGCGGCAGTTCCTTGCTGTTTTATCAACACCTTGAAAAAACTTTTGCTGGGCAGCTACCCCAACGACTGGATGCTGGGAGACGGCACTAGAAACTGGAGGTGGGGAAGGCGGAAAGCAAATGGAGAGAGCGAGGGAAAGTACACAGACAGAGAGACTTGGAAGGACAGAAACAGAAACACCCTTGGCTCTGAGTGTATCTGAATGCTCCAAGTGGTTGGCGTCTTGCAAAGATGGAAAAGTTGGGAAAAATTAGGCACAACCATACCTCCCCCACCCACACCACATTGACAAAAAAGTCAATGGTAAAGTTCCCTTGAACTTTTCTGGGGTCAGGACTGTGCCTCATGGCCCATTACCTTCCTGTCTGCATCTTCTATTAATAATTACCATTTGAAACACAAACAGCTCCTGGGGAATAGCATCCAGCCACTCCCAACTCACACACCACCTGCCTAGGAGGAAGGATGGGTGGGTGGGGATGAACAAGCAAGTCCTTGCTCTCAGAAGTTTTAACCCTATGCTGTCCCATTCCTGTGGGGGTTGTTTTCTAAGTCAGGAAGGGGGCAGATGCATGGCAGCAGGAGGAGGCAGGGGGTTGAGGGTTGGGGTAGGGGGGGAAGTGGGGCTCCATGAAGTGCATGAGTAACAGGTGAGAGGAGACCTGGAAGAAGAAGTTTTGCCAAGAAGTGCACACCCAGCCAGAATCTGTGGTCCAGGCTGATTAACAGGCGTGTGTGTTATAAGGCAAGGGAGAGGTGAAGAAACCTGGAGGAAGACCTGGATGGACAGGGTTCAGTGGGAGAAGCTGGAAAGAGAAGAGTGAGAGATGGGGAAGACAGGCTGGCAGGGATCAGAGAGGAAAGCAGGCTAGAGAAGGGTGGCCAGGCAAGGCCACCAGGGAGCCAAGTTGGAAGCACAGTGGTGGGGGGCGCTGCTGTGCATACAGCTCCCTAAACCCAGCAGCATGCTGGCTGGTCCTTAAGCATGGACAGGGAGCTTGAATGGACAGTAAGCTGGAGACAGGTGTCTGAAGCTCTAGCTACTGAAAAGGCTTCTTGCAAAGGCTCAAGACAGAGACACCCTGCTGGACTCTGAGCCTTGGGGTACAGGTCCTGGGCCTATAGTCCAAGCCTGACCATCATGAAGGATATGGCTCTCCCCATGGACTGCATTACTGGAAGAGAAGCAGAGCACTTGGCATCCTCAAAGACCTTCTTGCTAAGCCAGGACCATCCATAGGAGCTCCCAGGGAGCATGCAGGAGTGCTCCCAGTGTGCTGCTCAGAACAAGATGCAGCCTACACCCGGCTATGGGCTCTGCCAGGTCTCCAAACCGCTGCAGGGAGTAGGGGGAAGCTGCAGCCCTGCTCTCGCCTTGCTCTTCCCTCCCCCTTTCTGACACCTTGTACCTATGGGAGTACTAGGAACAGGCAAGGAGGAGCCCCCCTCATTCTCTCCATGCACCAATACAAGGGCTAACCTGTGCCATTCTCTGCAGGTAGAGAATGACGGCGGCATTGCCTCTGACCCCACTCACACTATTGCAATCCCACTGGCTTCAGCGTTACTTCAGATTTACCCTGATGCAAAGCACAAAGCAGTAGGGACACTGGCTGAAGGGAGCAAGTGACTCTGGCTAAGGGCATTCATAACCATTCTTGCACAGAAGTCGCCCTTGTGACTAATAAAAACAAAGCTCAAAAGGGGAAAGGGCGCTCTCTTAGAGCCACAGAACAGCCCTGACCCACGACACCAAAGCAACGCCTTAAATCTATATTTACGCCGTTTTTAGAAACCACCTATTTATTTGCTTAGCCCCTGAGGGCTGCGGGAGGGAGTCAAACACTGGTAAATGACTCCCGCACTGGCTTCACACTCTCTGTGCCGCGGCAAATGTTTGCAGAACTGTTAATCAATTAAGAAAGAGGGGATTGCAGGATAATCCTGCCTCTTCGGAGCTGTCCCAGCAGCCCTGGTCCCCAGGGAGCTCGGAGGCGGAGGGCTGAAAGGGGCCCAGTGCACTGTGGCATCGCTCCCGCTGCAAAAAGGAACACGAACACTGGGCCCCTTGTCACCGAGAGACCACATGCCACCCATGAGACACTGGCACGGCTCAGTCAAGCTGTGAACTTGTGAGGACCGCTGCCCATGTGCTGCCCCAGGCCTCACTCATCCCCAGTCATGGGCTATGAAATTCAATGAGGAGAGACTGATCCTGCCAGCCAGGAGCTCAGACACAAACAGCTGGGAGCCCGAGGGCCCCTCCCAGCAGCCGGGCACGGCGCCAGTTTGTAGGGGGGACGCCAGCGCGCTCCCAGCCTCCCTCAGGAATCTGCTCGCCGAAGCAGGAGAGTCAAAAACATCAGGGGGGGGAAAGAATTTTCCTTTTTATTAAACTTCTGGGCATCTAAAAGGGGGATTTAAAACCAGACTCCTGCTCCCCCCGCAACACGGGTGCACTGCCCAGCTCCCGTTCTGCGAAAGGCAAGCTCTGGCCGGAAAGAGCAGAGAAGCCACTTAACCTCTGTGGTATCAAGCGGGCTTGTCCTATGTGGACCACTTGAGGGTATGAAATGCATCCTGCCACCTCCAGGCTGCAGAACCTCCCTACGTCTGCACTCCTGATGCCTACAGGCCTTGACTGAGTTCAGGATCCACACGAGGAAGTGAGCCCTTACCCCGGAACATGGACAATAGGCACGGCAGACAAATAGGGAGAGAAGGTATATTTTACACCTGCCAATTCAAAAAGGAGAGAGAGAGGGAGCCACAGAGCCGTACAATTTAACTGGAAAGGATGTTGTGTGGTGCCACGTGTGGGCAAAACTTATTTTGTGGGTGGAGTTTTAAAAGGACCGCTGTTTTGTTCCTGGACTGGCAGGGACAGCCACAGGCACGGCAGCCTGTTAGCAAGATTGAGAAGAGGAAAGTGAATATCACATGCTCATTTTCTCCAAACAGGGGACAAAAGATGTACCATATAACCTCACTGATCAATCAAAAATAGCCTGAACTTACATATCAGTCGGGAGCTGCTCATGCAGGAGACTCAAGGCCATTCACTATTTGCAGAAATCATTCAGAAAAGAGTATGAATAGGTCTAAGGAAGCTGTAAGTCACAGGACATTCATTCAATCAGCAGCAAGAAAGAGATGGAGTGTTTGGAATAAATTATGTTTTTTTTTAAATCATTCACCCAGCTCCAGCGAGGAGATTTGCTAATCATACCTAACTTGAGCTGTTACACTCCCAGCCTGCACTGGGACAGCAAGGTGAAAAAAATCTGGGAGAGATTTTTTTGGATGTTTCTCCTTCTATATGTCCTAATCCCTTTGAGAGCCTCAATCAGGCTATTACCCCAGCGTTCAATCCACTTGCCTTACGGTTTTGGAGGCCTGGGTCCTACATGTTACTCACCCACAGGGAAACTTGGTTGGTGGCAGCTGGGAGCTTCCCAAGAAGATGGAGCTGAACCGTTCTCAGTGGTGGCGGACGACAGAACAAGGAGCAATGGGCTCAAATTGCAACAAGGGAGGTTTAGGTTAGATATTAGAAAAACTCTCTCACGAGGAGGATGGTGAAGCACTGGGACAGGTTACCCAGAGAGGTTGTGGACTCTCCATCATTGGAGGTGTTTAAGACCAGGCTAAACAAAGTCTTGGCTGGGATGATCTAGTTGGGGATGGTCTTGCTTTGAGCAGGGGGTTGGATTAGATGACCTCCTGAGGTCCCTTCCAACCCTCATTTTCTATGATTTTAACAGATGCTTGACTCTCACATAGCTCTGAAATCCACCTCCAGGAATGAAGCGGGACAAGAGAGCCAGGATTGGGGAGTACAGGAAGAACAAGGCCTGCATCCATAATGCACCCCCACTCTCCCAGGCCTCTCCGTGTCTTGGGGTCAAGAGAATCTAAATTCACCCCAGAATTTGTATTTCCCCCCCCAACTTTTTATAAAATAAAAGCAACATTTGAATATACATCTGCAAAACAGAGGCTCTAAAGCTGCCAGTCTTTTTGCATAACACTGCTGGGAGCATGCTCAGTGGTGCTGGCTAATTCCACATCTCAACAATGGAAAAACCCAGTGATCCCTGTGAATAAGCCAGTCTCTGTGTCCTAAGTCAGCCCTTGGATTTCCTCCCTTTCTTGAGACTGTCTCGCCTCTGCACAAACTCCGTCGGGGCTTTGTAGCCAGCTTCAGAGGTGGAAGCCTCAAAAAGCTCACAGTCCTGCGCTCAGCTCGCAGTTGTTTGCTGCAGCCAGGACCTGGCGAGAAACCAGCTCAAAATGTTCCATATCCAAACCCCACCCCACAGCTCCTCCCCGATCTCTGCCTCTCGCACTCAAAGATAGGGAGACCGAGGACTCTTAATGTCTTCACCTTATTCCCCTGGAAGGGGACAGCGTGAAGCACCTGCTGTGTTTAACTCCCCTCCTTATAACTCTTCTTTGCAATCATTATCCCGATACACACAACCACTTGAGGCCCCGGACCCTGCTCCCTCTGCACTTCCACTGGCCGGATACTACACTGCATCTTTCCAAGTCCCCACCGTCATCTTCCCCCCTCCACACGTCCTTCTTAGAAGCCCTATGCTCTGACCCAGCACCACGTACCACACTGGACTCAGCCTCCTCAGCAGTATCTAAGCACAGTGGTCACTACCGCTCTAAGTTATTCTGGCCATCCCGCACCATTTCACCAAGGCCTCAGCCACCGTCCCATCCTCAGTGACCGCGTATGGCAGAATCGCAGCCGCTGCCCCAGCACTCCAGCCTGACCAGAAGGCAGTCCAACAGAGATGCCTTGGACATACCGTTTCTCCCCATTACTATGGCACCATGTGCTAATCCTCCTCCAGACACAGGGTTATCAGGCTGCATTTAGCTCAGCAAGTTTTGCTCCTCAAGGGAAACCACCTGAAGTTCTGCAGGAACTAAGACTCTCCCCACCAGACCTTCCTCAAATTTAGACAGCCCCTACACATGGTCAAGATCCTGAAGTCCCGCATGGCACTAACATCCACGTAATGCAGGTGCAATCCCCACAGAGTGCAACAACGAACCTTCCCCAAATCTCCTACAATTATACTTAGTCCTTGCCAAGAAATACTCCAACTGAAGTCAACAAAAAGTTGGGCAGAATAAAGATTTTGCCCTTTTGGGAACAACAGGGAAAAGGTGCCTGCCTGAATGTCTTCTAAGCTTTGGATAATAATCCGAGATACAGCTCAGTAAGTATTAAGCACATGGAAAACATCAGTGCAAGAGGCTAGAAACTGCACTAGTTAATAGTGTCTGTTAACGACCCTTCAACATCTCAATACTTCAATACCCCAATACTGCTGGTACTGACAGGGGACAACTTTGCTTTCCTTTAGGTGCATCTGGATTCCTGTCTCTCAAGACGCTGTTCTCCATCTCTGAATTACTTAGAGCCTTGTTACCACCTGATTCAGTGGGGAGTGAAGAAATCCCCAAATCTAGGCAAGCTCCCTGTGTCCATTCACCTCCCTGCTCCAGAGAGAAAAACTACCTCTACACAGTCCCTTTTTTTTTGCAGCACAGAGTGAAGACGCTCCTCTGCTTGGTGCCAAGGAGTTAAATTCACACTGAGCTCCCAAAGTCAGTTGCTTCCAAGTAAGAGTCTGGCTGCTGCCTGTGGTTTGTGGGAAGGGATTTTGTTTTTTAATAACATTATAAATAGGGCTGTGTTCAGCTCGCTGCAGACACACTCACTTTCTCTCCCATCTCCCTCCTCCTGCTGCCGCCGCTTCTCTTTCCCCCATCCCTTTAACAACCATCCCAGTTCTGGCCATGGACCGGTCAAGCTTCTTCCTCAGCTTACTGGTGTGCCTCCTTCCCGTTCTCCAGGCATGTCCCCCAAGCTGCCACTGCCACGGTGGGGATCTCCAGCACGTCATCTGTGACAATGTGGGGCTGAAGAAGATCCCAAAAGTGCCAGAGCAAACACGGCTTCTCAACCTGCAGCGGAACAACTTCCCTGTCCTGCCGACCAACGCGTTCAGGGAGATGAAAGGGCTCGTGTCCCTCCACCTCCAGCATTCGCACATCAAGGAGATCTCCAGCGGCGCCTTCCGGGGACTGAAGCAGCTAGTCTACCTGTACCTCTCCAATAACGACATCAGCGTCATCAAGATAGGAGCCTTCGACGACCTGACTGAGCTCACCTACCTGTACATGGACAATAACAAGATCTCAGACTTGCCCAAAGGGCTTCTCTCTCCGATGATTAACCTCTTCATCCTGCAGCTGGGCAGCAACAAGATCAGAGAGCTGAGGTCCGGGGCCTTCAGCGGTACCAAGGACCTGCGCTGGCTCTACCTCTCTGACAACTCCATCTCTTCCATCCAGCCTGGGGCCCTGGATGACGTGGAAAATCTCGCCATCTTCCACTTGGATAAGAACCAGCTGAGCACTTACCCCGCGGCTGCAATGAACAAGCTGAGGGTGGTGGAAGACATGAAGCTGTCTCACAACCCTATGAAGGTCATTCCTGACAACGCCTTCCAATCCTTCGGGCGCTACCTGGAGACCCTCAGCCTGGACAACACAGGCCTGGAAAAAGTAAGTTCCTTTCCACTCTCTTTCTTTTTAAATAAGCAGCATAAGGTCAAATCCTCTTCTCCTTTACATGCTGCCACTCTAGGGACCTTTGTCCTGATTTGCACTCATGCAAAAGAGAGGAGACTCAAGCCAATCGTCTCAGCAGAATGGCTTAGTGTTAATAAAAATGCAGCTGAAACTCTGAAAAGGTTTATGGGAGAAACAAAGAAAGGGAGGGCTCCATCCTCCTGGGATCTTTGTTCTCCACAAAACTGAGATCTCCTGGGCTGGGCTCAGAAAGGTGGCATGTTCTCCCTCTACCTAACAGCTGCACCAGTCCAGTGGGAAATGTATTCTGGTGCTTTAAACAAGCAAAAGGAGCCCCCCAGCACATGGGAGGTGGGATGAGAGAAGCAGCTGGCCCATGCCTTCATTAGCAGAGCACAATCTCTGGCCAAGCTGGACAGTCTTGTCATCTTAGTTCAACCTGGGTACATGCTGTTGCTCAGACGTGGGAGAGTCCTCCAGACAGGTCATGGATCGGAGCAGTTTCTTACTGATGCGTTGCAGACAGGTAGACGGGGCAGACACACAGACCTTCACCTTTTTCTTCCTCCTTCCAACTTTACACGTTATAAAGAAAGGTTTGTTTATTGATGATCTTGCCAGAGAAACCCTTGCAGTGTGCTACAAAGAAGCCCATTCAGGTATCCCAGCAAAATACCTCTCTTCTTCTCCCGGAAAAGAGGCATGACCTACAGGTAGCAGCATCACACTCAAGGAACTGCTTGAAACAGAGCCCCTAGACTGCTAGGGGTGCAAGGAAAGCAGCAAATCCAATGCAGGAAGATCACCTGCAAGCAGCACAGTGTTCTCAATGCCCGGCTGAGATGCAAGTGGATGGCACATATACAGAGCAGCTCACAGCTTCCCAGGATACCATGGCAGGAAGCAGAAAGATTAACACTCCAGCAAGAAGACATCCCAATCTCTGGTACAGGAGGAAGGAGAATATCCCAGTGATGAAACAGGGCACCTCATAGCAAGAGAGAGCTACCGCTGTGCTGTGCCTGGTGCACTAGCTGTCTGCATTTAGGAGGACAGCCCTGAACAGCAATACAGCACTATCAAAAGACTTGGGACTTATAGCACAGCCAGGGGATGAAGGACCAAGTCCGTGTCCCAGAATGCCAGACTAGGAAGCTAGAAGCTGGAATGTCTCCCATCGAGGATGACGGCACAGCGCCACCTACTCAATATTTGAGATTTCTCCTATTCTTGAGATGACAGTCCCAGCAGGATGGGTGTAATCAAGATTTCATTTATGAAAGGACACCCTGTAGTGAGCATATTGCCCAGTGAGCATGTCATCCTCCAGGGATGTCACTGCTGTAGGCATCAGCTCAGCTTCTATCCAGTTTTACCATGTGCACATCAAAAGCTGCAGGTTAAATGCAATACCTGCTGAAGAGGCCCAAGAACTTGTATCTGAATTACCTGAAAAAAACTGCAAGTCTTGGAACGGAGTCATGTAGAAACAGTTTGATGCTGCTTGGAATAAGAATGGAACTGCAAGAACTGAATTCAAATCTATTTCAGTCTTCAACCTGTAGCCGATATCTACCTTAACATACCTTGGCTGGCAACAGCGTATGTAACTTCTAGGAGGTTGATGGATTATATCCATTCTCACTCTCTGTCTGTTATACAGATGGTGTTAGGCTGCATTCTTGTTCTAACCTGACTGTCTAGTTCTGGAACCTGCTGGTCCTTCTCCTTCCATCCTTTCCGTCATGATCTTAATACTGCTAAAAATATAAAAACTGAGAAAAAGGCAAACCAAGTATTATCTGACCTGGCACACAGCTTCTTTCAGATGGAAGGACCCCAAACCACAACACTGATATAATATATATATATATATATATATATATATAGATAGATAGATAGATAGATAGGAATCCTTTCATCCACCCTTCTAGAGTGGAATGCATGGCTGCATAATAGTCACACATCACGCAGCTCCTTTGCATGGGAAAGTGGAGAAGAAAGGCATATCCAATGAACTGTGCAGGAGTTAAGGAAGACAGAGTAACTCTATGTAGGTTAATAACCCTAACTTCGCAAAAAGGCGTCCTATCTTCTCTTAATGACCATTTGTGGACACAGTCTTTTCTGAAATATGGCAACCCCAACATCACTGTACCTTCAGGACATTCATTTATTCCAAGTGAGCAGTGCCACCTAATGATCAGTCCTGTTTTGCAGCTATGGATGTACTGAAGCTTTTGTTTCTTACTCTAAGTTACAATTTTTTTTCTCATACCTTCCAGAGGCCTGGTATATATAAGAGCCAGGGGTGAGCCATTTTGCGCTGCTAGACGACTCCCTCGTCACAAAGGCCACGTGAGATGTGACATCATCATCATGTACTTTAAATGCTGCCAGCATCCAGGCTGTGACCCCTTTTCCCCAAAATCCTGTGCTCAGCTTTTCTTTCTGGAGATGGCTGGGTTTGTCTGTGGAGCTGCAAGTTGGCATAGCCAATTTGGTCTGAAAGTAATCTTTAGGAGAAGTCCTCCCATTGTCCCAGTGCGAATCGAAGAGAAGAGATCTGAAACATGTTGGCAAATCTAGAACTTGGAAAATCCTCCCATCTCCACTTCTATATAAGTTACTACCATAATACAAGTCATTAATAACTAATAATAAATAACTCATTCATCATGGATGAGGATAACACTGTGGTAGTTTCCAACCCCGTCATGAATGACCCGTGCCCCTGGTGGCTGCGGGGGCACAGCGGCAGCGGTGAGCTCCTGCAGATGCCGCCGGTGCTGTCGGTGGTGGAGGCAGGGGTGGCAAGCACTGACCAGGAGTGCACTGCCACGCTCAGGGGGTGCATGTGCACCCACATGCACCCCCTATGCATCATCCCTGAACCACGCCCCCCTCAAAAAACAATACCAGTTGCTAAAGGGACTTGGGACCAGATTATAGGTGCTATAAGAACAATAATCATGCACCTAAATGACGGCTCATCTTGGAGGATCCCAAAATTCATTATTAGTTAAGCTCTGGGAAGAAGCAGAGAAGCTGTTTAAACGTCACGCGACAACACTTTGGGACAGGAAAGTGAAGGAGGAGGAAACACTGGAATGAAGCCCCAACGGGATCTGAGGTTGTTGGAATGTAAAATGTCTGTTCATTCAGTAACGAACTGGAAAGGATGGCCCCCAGCTGCATTTCCACAATTACCTGCAGCATGCTGGAGGCCTCCCGTTCAAGCACTCATCCAACACAGTGCTGCTCAGCTTGAGAGATCTCACAGGTCTGAAGCCTAAGAGATGCAGCAGCAGGCCCCATCCTTCTAGCTTGCAGCTAAAAGCAGACTCCTGGACCCAAACTGAGGGGTCATTTCAGAGAACTGCACCAGTGAGAGCTTCTAGCGTGAAGTGACAATATGCAAACCGCCATTTGAACTGGAGAGTTTTCTGTTGAGCCTGGTACATGTCCTCTTCCCTCCTCCTCCTCTTCAGAAGCCGTGGGAGGAAGAGGCCAGTTTGTTATTGCCAAGAGAATCACTCTTGCAGTCAACAGCTTCATCTGCAACTAGTGTCCTCCAAAGATCGTCTGTGTTGATGGGTTTGCATTACAGAGGGACTTTTCCAAACTATTTGACAAAGAGGATGGTGAGGGGGAGAAGGAAGAGGCTATGTGGTGATGCCCAAACAGCTGGCTTTATCTCTGGCCCAGGCAGCATTTTACTCCCTGGTTTGTGACGAGGACCTGCTTTTCCAGCCTGCCCCAGGCTGTGAATACACAGATTTTGTAGCATCTCTGGCAAATGACCAGGCAGGAGAGGAAAGAAAAAGAAAGAAGTGAGGAGGCTGAGAGGCTGGATGCCTGCCTTGCTGCTCCTACGCTGCTCTGAAGCCAAGTGTAACTTTCCACTCAATGTCCACTGGGCACTGCCAAAACCTACAGCCCCTTCAGACTCCACAAACACTGCCTCCATCAACAGTTCCACAACAGAGAAGGCAACAGGCACTGGGAGAAACTCCAGCTTTGGAAAGGTTTATACATAGGGACACGTCTGAGTCCAGTTACCGAGGTGGTGCACGGCTCAGGAACAAACGGGACAGGCCAGACTGCAACTTTTCTTCAGGGTGCAAGTATGTGGCTGTGAAAAACAAGTAGTAAATGGGAAGGAGTTGGAGGTGGGAGGAATGGCCCCATCACTCTTGAAAGACTGTGCTCTCTTCCTTGCTCTCTGTCCTGTCTCCTCAATCCTTCCCCTTTGCCACTTATTCTCTCCAGCCTCACTTCTGTCACTTGAGCACCGGCTGCCTGGGGAGGAAGTGTAGAGAGAATACCTTACCCTTGCTTCGCAGTGATCTGCATCAGCCCTTGTGCTTCAGTTTACAGATCACGCCTTTTCTGGAGTGACCACCCTGAAGACGGTCCATCTCGAGAACAACAAGCTGACCCAGCTGCCCAGCAACTTCCCATTCGGCAAACTGGAGAAGCTCACCCTGTCCAACAACCCCTGGCACTGCTCCTGTCAGCTAGCTCCTCTGCGCAAGTAAGGACCTATTCCCTTCTCTATGTCTCCTACTCAGTCTCATTGCCCAAGTCCCGGTCAGTCCTATGTGGCTCCCATCCATCCGGCAGAGGGGAAGGTCTCAGCGAGTTTTAGCTGGCTCTGGCTGACCAAGTATGGGGAACAGTACTGGTCAGTTGTGCCAAAGGAGACAAGCCCCATGCCAATACCTTGCACTAAGATGGTTACCAGTTTCCCTGGAACCTTTGACCAAGTGACTGGTCATTCGTGCCCTTCTGAAACTCGAGGTGGTGGTGGGGGGGCTTTCATTTGTCCTTCTCCAGGTGGTTGAAGGCCAGCCGCACCCGCCCTGACGGGGCCTGCACCTCACCAGCTCAGTACCGAGGACAGCAGATCAGAGACGCTGCTGTCCTCCGCAGCTGCAAGCTCCCTACCAAGCGGTCCAAGAAAGGAAGTCGCCATTAAACAGGTAAGAGCCAACCACGCCCAGCAAAAACCTCTGGCCTTGTCTCTTTTCTTGCCAACTTCAAACAGATCTTGGTGCCAGCCAAGTCAATGGGACTTTTGTTTTCACTGATACTAAGGTCTGAGCCCAAAACAATTCATCCATTTATTTGCGGAGATCTACATTTAAAAGTCTTTGTTTCCCTGCCAACAGCAGATGGCACCACAGCTTCCTAGTGCAGGGAACTGAGGCCAGAGCAGCTGCAATGAAGTCAGCCCAGTGAAGCAAACCCAGATTTAAGACCAGGCCACAGAGGACAAGCAAGAGCGAAATGCCTGGGTGCTGACAGACATGCAGCTCCCTGGTCTAATTCACGGCGCTTCACTGAAAGCGCCATGAGTTACACCAACCCTCCCAACCAAACAGACATTCGCTGTTGGGTCGGGAGGGTGGGGGATCAAGCTCCGCTTTGGAGCCAATCCAGCCGAGGAGCTGCGTGTCTGCAGCTTCTCCCCCCTTGCCCTGGCCCACCCACTCCCATCTCCAGCGGTGCCTACACAAAGGAGCAGGGAGGGGAAGGAGCTTGGGCTGGGGTTTGCGCAGCCTACCTTAGAGTGGGGGCAGGTTGACTGGAGCCCCCAGGTGGCAGGAAGCTCCAATCCACCCGCCCTTCCCTGCCCCCATGTGCAGGCTGGGAAAATCCCAGCCTGAGTTCCCTTCCCCCTCCCCTCCCATTGTAGACAGCACCAAGGGGCAGGGATGGGTTGCATCAGTCCAGCCACACAAGCAGACAGAAGTTAATGAAGGCACTTTGCTTTGGAGCACCTTCATTTGAAGCCTCATATAATAAGGCTTAATTTGTCACATGATGGGGGACTTTTAAATACTCTACAACCATGCACTTCTGTTAGGGACAGCTGTGCAGCACTTTCAAGGGGCTGATCACGTGACAAATGTAACTTCTATCTGTGCCCTCTATTAAGCATCAGGTCCAGTACTTCTCTGCTATAGGCCCTGTGCAAATAATGGAGTTAATTAAAACAGCAATAATTTGGCCCACAGTTTCTTCCTGGTTTGGGACCATAAGGCTTTCATTTACTGAAGTTTCAAAAGTATCTGTTTAAAATATTTCTGAAGGGACTGGAGAAATCAGAGAATGAGAGTTGAGATATTAAGCCTTTGCCTTTCAGTCAAATCTGGCCAGTCAGTAATGGCCAAGTCACCGCCACCCCACAGTTCAGGGTTTGTGTGAAATAAGCTGGTAACCACCATGTAGTTTCTAGGGGAGCTGGTGGTCTCAGCACAAAAGAAGGCCATGGAGCTTGGGCTTATCTCGTGTGCTGGCAAAAATCCCTCAGGTCCGGTTTAAAACACATTGGCAGAGGACAGCGGGGAAAGTTGGAACAATGCCTCCTCAGCCTATATCAAAACAGAAGCCCTCGCTCTCCAGGCCTGCCAATCCAGCACCTTCTAACAAGCTATAGATTTACCTCAAATGCATGAATTTATTTCAAAATAAGATCTTTGCCTTGAAACGTGGCATCCTCAAGCCAGAGCTGAGTCCCAGGGAAGGGAGGGTTGAGACAACAAACTTTTTGAGTCTAAAGCTCCGGGCAGCCATGGCAGAGAGGAGAAAAGGGGAAGGTGATACAGAAAGCAGGGCTGACTTGCCTCTAAGCAAAGAGCCTATTGAGCCTCTCAGGCCAGACACTGAATATGCAACTGCATCGCGGAGCCACATTCCACACGGCTGAGGACTGCCAGATGCAGAGACTCTTAAGGATGCACAGAAGCAAGAGCCTCACCGGTGCTGCCACTCTCCTCATCCATGCTTCATCTGCTGCTTGATTCTGTCTGCTTGAGGGCCAGATCTGAACCCCCTCCATTAATCTGGGTTTGGGTCAGGCTCTTGATAAGCTCCTGGAAGAGAGAGCTCCTCTGCTTCTTGGTTGTGTAATGGGCTATGGGCCTATGGGGCACCATGTCGGCAACACTCATCTCAATCCTCTCTAGCAGAACGGGTTAAGGAGCAGCTCCTGGAGCCCACTTGCAGGCGTGGTTCCTTTCTAGACAGGGACATGGACAACAAGATGGAGAAAACAAAGTGCATGACCCTAGTGCCTTGGAGATGCCAGATCCTCTGCCTTTTAGGGTGATGTTATTTCTGCTGGCCTAATGGAAATCTTGATGGATTATAGATGGAAACCCCAGTCGTTCCATACAGAGAGGGTAAACGTCCACACTAGAGATGGAAATGTTATTTTTCTAAACCACAATGATTATTTTATGAACATGCCAGTCCCTTCTCAGCTTTCTGCCCTTCCAGACCAATCGCGCCCCCCCCAGTAACAGTATACCAATGATGATAATGCTCTGCTTTTCTAGAGCACCTTCCCTTCAAGGATCTCTGTCGCACTTAGAAACATCGGTGAACTGCTTCTCACAACTGGCAAGGTGAAGCACTTATTCCCACTTTGCAGGTGGGAAAACTAAACACTTCTGAGTGCGAGTGCCCACAGCTACACATATACTTGGATGCCTTTGCCTGGATTTAGGTGGCATGCTCTTTTGAAATATGGATCCCTGTAGCTCCCTCTGATCTCACTGGAGTTATGGGTACACAAGGTCTCTGAAAGTCAGGCCACTTAGTGAGATATACAGGGATGCTAATTTAGAGGCAATATCTTTTTAAGAGTGGCTAGTGATTTTTACATGCTAAATGAGACACCTTTAAGGGGCCTGGTTTTCAGCTGGAGAGGGTGTTTAACACAGTCAAAGCAAACAGGCTGCTTTGAAGTGTCTCAACTTGGGCACCAAAAATCATTTGTTGCACTGGGAAATTCAGGTTTTAGGCCGCTGCTGTTAAGGCAGCAGAGTTTGAATAGTTTGGGTGAGTTTCTTAAGCATTAGGAAGCAAGTTCGTGGAAAAGTCAGGACCAGAATTCCTCAGCCTCAATTCGAGCAGGAGCGGTGGTGGTAGGATCTCTGCAAGAGAAGCCAATACATCTCTTGACTTGGAGCACTTCATTCAAAGACAGTTAAAGAGCCTTGAGGCACCTTAATCTACTTGAAGACCCTTTAACCATGCCAATTTATTTTCTTTTTTTTCAGTAGGCCCCACATGGCTAGTCCTGGTGACTGCCCACTTCAACCAATCACAAAACTACTGACTCCTTCCAAGTCCATCCTTCAGCTTCTTCCACCTATCAGGAAATATTTCTGATGTATCCAGAACACCTCCAGCCTTCTCACAGTCCCCGCTTCTCTGCAGACTGCAGGATGGAGTACATCTTTTCAATCTTTTCTGACATTATGTATTTTTAAAGAGTCATTTTAAACTAAAACTATGCATGACCACGCTAAGACAAGCTAACCTAGATCCTGCCAGTAAAGCACAGTCATCTGCCCACAGACAATGACGTAACCAGTGGCCCCGATTGCCCCCATCTCTCTCCTTCCAGTGGGGTGGAAACAAGTGGAAAGACACAAGGGTTTCTCCCCGTCTTTGCCAGCGGGAAATCCTCTCTCAACTCATGCAGACAGAATCCTCCTCCCACCTGAGGAGTCGATCCCTGCAGGTCAGGGCTGAGGACCACAGGGGAAGCCATGTCCAAGAGTCCATGGATGCAGAGAGGGAGCTTCCCTGTCGTTCCAAAAGGAGGCAATCTCTCTGTCTGGGTCAGGCCTGACGTCTGTTAGTGGAACAATGTTGGGGAACCCCCAACACTGAAATAGTTTGGAGGCTCAATTCACTTCTTGCCCCTCCCAAGCAAGAGGCAAGGTATGCATTACATTGCCCTGTATCTGGGGAGCGACCGGGCTCTACCTTCCTCCTCCTTTGCCTTCCCCAAGCCCAGAGAACCCAGTGAGAGGCAGAAAGATGACTGTGGTTTATTGTCCTGGATTTTACAGCACCACAGTTTCAACTTAACTGCATTTTTTATCCTAAAGATTTATATAAATATATATATATATTTATTCCTCTGTAACTGAGTGTAAATGACCTTTAAGGGGATAAAAAAAACCTCCTCTTACTTCTATATAGAAAAAAAATTGTATATTTTCTTATGTACATCTTCTGTATAAAGCTCTTGCTGCAAAGATGAATTCAGCTGCTCTCCACGTGTCTTCTTGAGATATATGCCAGAAATGGTTTAAGGGTCCAAACGCCCAAACGAACGCAGGACTTAACACCTCTTATCCTACAAGCCAAGAGAGGTCAAAGCCAATTTGGAAAGAAGGGTTTTATTATTATCCCTGCCGTGGTGCAGAGACAACTGAGCCACTCGCAGAATAGTGGCCAATTGGTCATAATGGCTGAATACATGTGCAGGGCTCAGCTCAGGCTTGCTATAAAATCAGCAGCTGCTACCTGATGGCAGTTCATGGAGTTATGCCAAGGCACAATGTTCGAAGCTGAGTCCTAAGAGCTTCACGGGAAAAAAACAAGGCTCTCCCTTAAGGCACCACCTCATTCCAGCCTGCTGCCCTATGTTCCCAGTGCCTTGGCGCCATTCAGTTCAGATTACACCCATCCCTATAAAACTGCTGGTACCGGCAAGTTGTGCTGGCACTGCCAGCAATAACAGGAGAAATCTGACTCCCGGCCCCATGTGTTTACCCGTCACCACAACCTGTTTCCTTAGCCTTCACAAGAAGCCTGGCACAGAGGTAGAATAACTGCCTTTCAAGTAAAACAAAACAGACTCCCTCACCCATCTGAGTTATCCCAAATGAGTTTCTCCAAAGAATATGGAATAGGATTTGGGGGCATCCTCTGGAGCTGACTAACCAGCATAAGACAGTGCCCTGCTCACCCAAAGAAGCTGCAAAATCAATCAGTTAAACTCCTAGGGACTCCCTGAATGTGGACAGGTTCACCAGGTGTTCATGGACAGGGGTGTGGGTGCACATGGGTGCTTACTGATGGAGAAGCCCACCTGCTCGGGTATGAATACAAAGGGGCAGCCAGATCCGACTGTCCTGATGGTTCAGGGTGTGACTATTTATCGGGCTAGAGACCGAACGAGTGCAATTCAAGAAGCAACAGGACAAACAAGCATACACATACACATACATGATTGAGTCAGCAAGGCCTTGTCCACAGCGCTTATCCTTGAAGCATGCAAAACAGGGAAACAGAACAGTTTACTACCACTCAGAAACAAAAAATGGAATCTCAGGGTGCAAGGCAAGTCATGCCCCCTGCGTATAAAGCTCCCCCCTTTTCACAGGCCTCACCCCACAAGCCTCTTATCATTTAGCAAGTAGCTGAGTCTATACAGCTTCCCATGTTCCTCCCCAGCCTGCCTAGACCTTCAATCATCCCCAGCCCAACCTTGTACCCCCTGCACAAGACTGGAAAGCCCATGAGCCCTCTGACCCGATCACATGCAGCTGTGTTAGCTCAAGGAGCTTTCCACTACTATGTTGACTTGTACTTGCTCAACATCCCACTCAAGGGAAGGATGCCGGTGACCCACAGAGTCTGACTCACCACGATTTCTTTCATGTTCATCTTGGTTATAATCTTCCTCATGACCTCGGGAGGCACTGGGGACCCGGCGACGACTCCTGAAAGGAGGGCGGGGGGAAAGATGACTGCCTTGGAGACTCTTCTTGCTCAGACCATCTCACTCAAAGGGTTTTCCATCTCAGTGCACCAAGGTGCAAAAGTTCCTGCTCACAAGGTGTAGCACTTCCACGAACATGGACACTAATTCATTTAGAAGCAGAGCCTCAGCATGACACTAAGAGCTGGGCATTTGCTTGGAGGAGCTGAGGAGGTAACACAGTTCCTATAGCAGGACAAAGGTGCTCCAATTACAGCCTGTGGAGCAACATTATCTGACCCGTGGGTCAGCCGTGGCAATTAACACTGCCACTACTCCCCCACTGCCAAAATCCTAGACATGTGGGGAGCCCTGGTGGCATACCTGGTGGGGAGGAGGTGAGTGCCCTGCCCTGCTATGCCTCTGGGGAGCCCCACGGGCCAGATGACATAGCCCCAAGTGCTGGTTGGGCCACAGACCCACTCTGCACACTGGTTCAATCTGGCCTGTGCAATAGCTGCACCCACTCCCCGGGCCCCTGGGGCCGGAAAGGTTGGACACCACTGCGTTAGGAAAGAAAAGTTTTCAGCACAAGTTCACACAAAGCCGAAGCTTTGTAAATAGAAAGTATCAGTCCAGGAACACACACTCCTTGCAGGGGGATGCTTCCAAATACTACCCCACTCCTGTCAAGGAGTTTTTATCCTAACCACGTCCCTCTCCAGTGGGAGAGGACAGGCAACTCTCTTACCAGTTGAAATAGCTCTAATCAAGGCTGGAGGGCAACCTTCATGCTCAGGCTCATGGGACAAGATGAACCGTCTGTGTATTTAATGCACTTGGAAAAACAGGACCACTCTCAGCTAACAGCCCTGTCCACGTCCTTCTAATGTAGACATCACCAGAGTCTCCGGGTACAACTGTTACCCACAAAGGGCAGGCACTCTCCACAGAGATTTGGGTTGCTTTTTTATACAACAGAAAAAGGAAACTCTGGAGTACTGCACATTTTCTATCTGTGGTTTTAAACAGGCATGAAAATATAGCTCTGGTAAATTGAATAAATTCACTGCCCATCACACAACTGCTCTTTTTGCCTTAAGGAATGTATACTGAATACAGTATGCCAGGCATGTACTGCCACATGTTGGTGGATACTGGTATGGAAGTCAATGGGACTACTCCCAGCATACAGCGTCCGCTTGCTGTTTCCAGCAGACAAAACAGCTGGGTACCTCCTTCAACCTGTCGGGCAACTACTCTGAGGAAAAGAGAAAGGGTGCTAGAAATATGGAAATCATATGGAAACCTCTAATGTCAGGCCTCAAATTTAACAGTGAAATAGAGAGAACAAGCAACGTGAATCTTTCCTCCTCAACAGCAATTTTCCTGGACACCACAACTAATGACCAGGGATCCTGGTTTTCTCTGGCTAAAAAACCCCCCCAATTTTCGGATTTAAAAAAGTGACTCAAAATCCACATTTTTTCAATGATTAAAATGAAACACCACTATCGTGATTAAAATGAAATAATTTTTCCATGATTAAAGTGAAACACCACTTTAGTGACTAAAGTGGTGTTTCACTTTAATCATGGAAAAGCATGGATTTTGGGTTACTTTTTTAAATCTGAAAATTGGGGATTTTTTTTTTTTGTATCCAGAGAAAACCAGGATCCCTGCTGATGACTATCCAGGTTCCTTCTTAGAGGAGCTTCAGCATGGGTTTTGCTGTTGCCATTTGGGGATTTTTTTCTTTTTTTAATCAGAGAAAACCAGGGGATTTTTTGTAATCGGAGAACACCAGGAGCCCTGCTAATGACTGTCCAGCTACCTTCTTGGAGCAGATTCAGCACGGGTTTTGCTGTTGCCATTTGAGCACCTATACTTACCCCCTTGGAGGGTCGAGAGGTCGTAGCTGTCGAAGTTGGGCTGGGCAAGCATGTCTATAAACATGGTTGGAGTGCCATATAAATAGGAGCATCTTCAAAGGAGGGGAGAGAAAAAACAAAGCTGCCGTTACAGCCCGCTGCAGTATGGACCCAGCACCCTGCTCCCCACCACCCCTGCGTGAAGCTTTGGAGAGTAGTGCAAGCTTGGGGTTATTGGATTAATGACTTGATTTGACATTTAGGCAGCAGCAGTGCTTCCACTTTACAACTACCCAGGAGTAGCACCCTTGAAATGCAGCCATTTCTGGGGTGCAGCAAGGGCTAGAAAGAAAGGGCAGCTGATTATGCACAAAGACCCAATCCCATTCACTAATTGCACAGCAGCAGCACACCTTCCAGCCAAGTCAGCTGGGACCAGGGGAATCACCGTATGCTTGTGACTGAGACAGAGCTATCATAAACCCGAGTGCAGCCGAGACGGGACTCGGGAAAGACGGAGAACGTGACTCAGCAGGAGTCAAGGGGAGGAGGGAGAGAAAGGCCAGGATCTGGGGCTGCCTGCCAGCAAAGCTGAGGCAACAGGCAAAGGCCGAGGAGCTGTCTTATAGCTAGAACATGCAAACCGGTTCTCACTTCTCTCGAGTCACCGCCTCCAGCGCTGCTTTCCCCTCAAAACTGGGAGATGAGAAGATGGCAGTGGGGCCGTGCAGAGCCATCACCATGCACCCTGCGACTGACCCCAGGCAGTGGTAGAGTGGGACAGGGACGACAACCCGGGAGTCCTGGGATCAAGCCAAACAAAGCAGTGAGGAGATAAGACCTGCTCAGGGTCTGAATCATCTTGTATCAAGGAGCACATGGGCACCTCTCTAAACCACATATCTCTAGAGCTGGCTGAAGCATGGCCTTTCCATGCCTCTGCAAATGTCTGGAACAGCCTGCAGAAAACCTTGGTTATCTGGGGAGTTTTTATTGCTTTTCAATTATTTTTACATTATTTCATGATATGCCAGTAACAGCAGAGTAACAACTACAAATGCCCTGGCAGAGTATAATAGAAAACCCCAACTATAGCACTGATCTTTTTATTTTCAAAATAATTTAGGGCAGCAAATACTGAAGCTTCATCTCTTCTTTTCCCAGATCCAAGTCTTCCCCATTTGTGTGATTACAGTCAACCATGCTGTTATACTACAATGTCAGTAGTAAGTGTTTCTGACATGAGATGAAATAAAAGGAAAGTAAATGGAAAGATCTCATTAAATAAACTTTGAAGTAAAATTGCAAAAAAAATTCCCGGATTTTCTGAAACTAAAATGGTCCAAAAATGAAACCAACCAACCAATCAACCAAAAAACCCAACATATTCAAATATTTTTCCAAAAGAAAATTTGTTTAAATAGTCATTTTTTTCCAAACGTTTTAACTTGGGGGTGGGGGATACATTCCAAGGAAACTTTCAGAATCAGCTCAACTGCAGCAGCCGTTCTCATCCAGGGTGCTACAGCAACCCAGGGTGCTGTGAGATCCTTTTGAGCGTGTTGCAAGATGCAAAAACATGTACATATGGTTCACAAGATAAACCTAGAGATTTCAAATAGGAATCCAGTGTCAAAAACACTCTGACCTGCAGTGCTCTGAGTGCTC